TTTATTAATTTATATATACATATATATATTTAATTCTAAGTGTATTTTGAGATATATATATATACATATATATTGTGTATATATATATATATAATTTTTTAAAATTACTACATTAAAAGCAAAGATAGTACTAGCCTAAAGAGCGTATAACCTCCAGAAAAAAAGAGTAAACAAACTAAAATACAAATTTAAATACAAATGGCTACAAAAAAGACACAATGGCCAGCCAGAAAATAAAACAGAAAAAACACTTTCCTTCTTTTCACCAAACCCATTAAGTAATAAAACAAACCAGGAGGAATCTCTTCTCTCTAATCCCAATGGAGGAAGGCATCAAAGGACAAACTGAGGAAAATAAAGTGTCAAGAGAGGGAAGAAATGAATATGACTACTTACTCACATAGACACACAATTTGGAAAACTGAAAGAAGAAATCCAAGCTAATACTTTAGACATAAAGAAAGAACTGTTGACTCTTAATCAACAATTTCAAGGAATAGAAGAAAAACTAAACGGGTTGGAACAAAAGGAAAATGCCCTCAAAGAAGAACATCTGGCGCTGGAAAAAAAAAAATGGCTGACATTGAGTACAAACGGATAGACCTTGAGGACCGGTCAAGAGGAGTATCAGAACAAATAAATCAAAAAAATCTGGAACTATACATAGAGGAATTCTTTAAGCATCTGAAGGTGGAATGGGACCCCCGAATCCCTATGATGGAAAGATGCCACAGAGTGAACAAACCTTAGGGTGTCCCAGAACATCTCCCAAGAAATGTACAGATATGCTGCGCCTCCTCCAAAATTAAGTTGAAAATTCTGAGAGCCAAAAGAAGCAATAAATGCACAGAAGAATACAAAACATTGAAAATATTCCAGGACCTGTCATGGCCAACCAGACAAAAGAGGAAGACCTTTTCTGATGGCACATTAATTCTGAGACAGAATAATATCAATTATCGATGGGGCTTCCCAACAAAAATTATATCTCACGAAGGGAAGATCACCTCCATTAATTATGCAGAAGACTTAAAAAGTTGGTTAAACAAAAATTAAATCGGAAACAGCTCCAACCACTAGTCAGATTGTGAGGTCCTAAATATTTAGAGGGGAGAGGGAAAAAAAGTGAAAAATGGACACGAGTGGCACTCAACCTTTTAACAAGGGAAGACGAAAAAAAGAATTATATATGAAACAAGAGAAATCACAATTTATTTATTTATTGTTTCTCCTTCTCGCTTTTCCTTTTACTGTGCATAATGCTGTTAGAACCCCTCGCAATTTTATTAAGACAAAAGAAATAAATGAAAGGCTTTACAAACCAAATTAAATTGGGACAAACCAAATTAAACATTTATGCAGATTATATTTTACTAACACTAGAAGAACCAAAAACCTCAGTCCCAGAGCTATTGAAACAACTACTCTAAAGTTTCAGGATACAAAATGAATCTAGAGAAATCAACATTTGTAGCTAAAAATATGAATAAAAAGTTAATTAACTTTCTTGTACAAAACATTGGGCTCCAGGAAAACAAGGACAGGCTAAAATATTTAAGTATAAATTTAACCTCAGATGTAAAAGATCTAATAGAAGCCAACTTTATACCGCTACTAAAATAAACTAATAAAAACTTAAGGGACTGGAAAGATATGGGCTTTTTTGGTTGGGTAGGTTTAACATCCTAAAAGCATATATTTTACCAAAATGGTTGTATCTGTGGAGAAGGATCCCTCTCAATTTTCCAGATACACTCTTCCACACTCTTCCTTTTTTAAATTTATATGGGGTGGCAAGAAAGCAAGAGTTAAAATGAAAGTTTTAGCCAGGTCAAGGCAGGCCGGAGGCTTGGGGTGCCCAGAAATCTTACAATGCTACCAGACTAGCAGACTTTTTCATATAATGCTCTCCCAAAACATTGCGGCAACTCAAGAAATATGGTACCAAATGGAAAAAGCTAAAACTGGGGTGGGAAACCTGTCTTCACTATTCTGGGTTCTAGATGTAAATCAAAAATGGATTAAATAGGCATGAACCAAATCTCAGATACTCAAAAAGTTAATGATCTGATGGGACAAATTCACAACCAACATAGGACTCAGAAATAGAATAATAGACGCGCTCCCATTCTCTAGCATCTCAGATATGTTAGATAATATAAAAACAGACACCTGGATATCTGGTGGGGGGGGAGGGGGAGGGGGAGGGGTAAGGGAATTTTAAAACCTATTAGGGGAACATAAAATCAAACCCTTCAACAAAATTATGGAGGAATTTAAGATTAACCACAGAGAAACATTTGGTTATCTGCGAATAAGAGTTTCTTAGCAGAAAACCTTAAAAACAAGGGGGAGAAAATCATAAACCTTACATACCTACTCAAACTAAAAAGTTATAAAAATATCTACTAGCAAAATGTGCCAGTTATATATAGATGGAGGCATGAAAAAGCAATAGAATTGATCAATAAATGGGAAAAAGAATTCCAAGTACATATAGAAGAAGAAGAGTGGATAAGATCTCTAAATAAACTAAATATATACATTTCCTAAACCTTACAGAAACCCAATTCAAACTTTCTAACAGATGGTACCTAACACCGAAACGTTTAAATATAATTTTCCCAGAGCTATCAGACAGATGCTGGAAATGCAATACTTATGAAGGCAATCTTATGCACGTTTGGTGGCAATGCGCACCCATAAATAAATTCTGAAAAGAAGTAATTAAGGTAATACATCAATTAACGGAAATAAAATTAGTTCTTAAGCCTGAAGTGGTCATGCTAAACTTGAACTGACCAAAATTTAAAACAAAACAAAACACTAATGTTAACATTACATATAATCACGTCAGCTAAACTACTATTGGAAAATGGATAATTTCATGCACTCAAGAACTAATAATACAAGTTATATGGCAAGCAAGAATGGAAAGGGGTATCTTGGCAAACCTAGGGAGTAGATATACTCAAATAGAAGACTAGGATATATTAATAAACAAAATGGAAACGATAACCCAATAAATATTATTGCAGAGTTAAAATCTCTCTTGTGACTCCTCTCCACTCCAAGTTTCCCCTGCTTTTCAGTGGATTCTCCTCTTTTTAACTTTTTTTTTTTTTTCTTTTGTTTTTGAACAGGAGGTATCATCGCTATAGCATCGCTACTCTTATTCCCCTCCCTTCTGACCTTAGTGCCTAAAATTAACACAGGTAGAGTGCCCAGTCTCAGAGAGGGGAAGGGCTAGACAAGAGGAGCGGAGAGGAAGGGAAGAGGGAAAAGAATGCAACCCCAAAACGGGCTGATAAATAGAATAATAAAACAGTGAAACTATACATCATGTAAGAGGATCTCTCTCTCCAAGAGCATATGAGGAAAGCAAATGTGATAGACAAGAATTTAGAACATGAATAATCAATAGGTTTGGGGGAGAGGGAGGAACAAGTGAGAAGGATTAGGGTGTTTAATAGAATATCATGATATAGTTATGATGACAAGAGTACCAAAGCCTGAACTAGAGAATGCACCACCAAATTTATAAAAGGCAGGTACAGGTCTGAAATATAGAAATTATATATATTATTTTACATTATTATTATTATTTTTTTAGACTTTTTTTCACCAGCAGGGGAACTGCCTATCGGTTCAGGCAATCCCCCTGCAGGTTAAAGGAACACTCTAGGCACCATAGCAATCTAAGTGCATTTCTCCTGTTCAAATCTCTTTAGTTTTTCTTTAAAAAAAAACAAAAAAAAACCCTCCTTCTCTTTTCACAAAATATCTTCTGTTTGGGAAGCACACAGTACCGGTCGGCATTTTGGTGATGGCAGCTGAAGTAACTGCTGCCCAACTGCTTTGTATCTCTTAATAATGTCAGACAGCATCTAGACATGTATGTCATAATACAGTGGTTCCCAGAAGGTAGATCCCCAGTTGTTGTAGAGCAACAACTCCCATGATGCTTTGCATGTCTCTGGAATGCCTTTAGAATGGCAAAGAATCATGGAAGCTGTAATTTTAAAACATCTGGGGATCTACCTTTTTGGTAACTCTCTCGTAGTAAGGTCCTACATTACCCTAATATTACAGGTATAGTCACTTAATCTCAATGAAATGGCCTGGGTGCAGTGTTCCTGTCATTTTAACCAATCGAGGTAAAGCATTGCAATTTTACAGATCGCCAATGTTTACTTTGAAGGGTTAAACTCGGTACCAGTGGCTGTAACACTGACACTTACTGGAAGCACTTCCACCGCAACGACGAGTGAAACTCAGTCACATAACGCATTTTCCCCCATAGGAAAGCATTGATTCAATGCTTTCCTACCGGGAAGCTTGGATGTGTTCTATGAGGCGCATTGAATTGGACCATGAAATCGCATTTGTATGCTTTGTGTTTCTCAAAAATTAGAAATGTAGCGCTTGGGTGCACAGCTTTATACCTCTAACCCTTTATCTTTGCTTTATTTCTTGGCTATTTGAATCTATAGCATTATCAGTAATTCAAGTTAACAGCAGCTCAGGATTTAATTGATTTTAACTTGTTTTGAGGTACAGCAGTAACATTTTTTTTTAACCTTTTTTCTGTTTATTACACCAGCACCTACCAGGTTTTTGGATACATTTATAATGCAGTTCTTATGGTGTCTGCAGGTTCTGGGCTTAGTCATTCCTTATGAGAGTAAACAGATTTTGGCCCCTCTAAGCCAACCTACCACCCAGCTTCAATGCAAGGAAGCAGCGGGTCTGAGTGGATGGCCCCCATGACCTACTTTGCTTTAACCCGATAATGCAAGATGGTGGGGGTGTGGCCTACAACGGAGATGAATGGATGTGCACGAATTCAGCTCCCAGAGACCTGAGACACAATCCAACGCAATCAGAGACCCAGAGTGGGGATGGGGAACCTGTGAAAGCAAAACACAGCCCAAGGAGCTTGTGGCAAATCCTTATCCGCTCTTGCTTGTTATTTTAAAGACACTTCAGACCGCGAGGTGATGGCCATGGTTTCCAAGATGGTGGCCACAGACAACCAGACCGAATCATTGCCCTCTAGCCCAGCACCAGCCGAGGGCTCATGCAGATCACATGAAGTCTCACAGGACCACGAAATCCAAGATTTCCTGCAGAACTTACCATCAAAGGTGGATCTAGCAAATATGTTTGGGAAGCTGGAGACGGCCTTTCAATCCAAAATGGACGCGATGGGCGCAGACGTGCAACAAGTAAGTCTCAGAGTAACCGACCTGGAGGAGGAGAAAGACGTGGTACAGGCCCAAGTGATGAACAACTCATCCACACTAGAGACTCATACCCAGATCTTATCTTCCATACAACGACAAATAGATGATTTTGACAATAGAAGCCGCAGAAACAACTTGCGGATCAGGGGCCTACCAGAAGTTCAAGGGGAAGATGTTGTATCCACTCTATCAGAACTTTTAAACCTCATATTGGGAGAAGCAACCAATAATCAAATAATAATAGATAGAGCTCACAGATACTAAGAGCTCTGCGTGTTACTTCCCAGCCACTTTTATTTCACGATAACCAAATACAGATTTTCCCGGATCTATCCTGGTTTACATTACAGACAAGAAGAGCTCTCAAACCTATCACAGAGCATATGCACAACCGCAACAAAAAATACAGATGGGGATTCCCGTTCGCCTTAATTGTTAATCACAAAGGCACTTTATGTTCAATCGCAACACACCTAGATGTAAAGCCTTTTCTTGGAGTCCTGGAACTGCCGGGCACACAAATCCTGGACTTGTATAACCCACAGCCAAACCAAGATGCAACTATTCTACCCCAGCGTCAACATTGGACAACCCCAGCTAAGAGGAGGAGAACATATCTACACATATTATCTCCACAAAGGAGATCACGGATGAATCAGGGAGGCAACGCTCGCTAAAAATGCACTCACATGCATCAACAACCAATCTCCAGTGATCTCCCATACACTTGAGCTGAAGTCAGCAAGCCCTAACCTTTGGTGGACCTACAGTGCCTTGCAAAAATATTCACCCCCCCTTGGCATTTTTCGTGTTTTGTTGCCTCACAAACTGGAATTAACATGGATTGTTTGAGGATTTGCATCATTTCATTTACAGAACATGCCCACAACTTTGAAGAATTTTTTTTTTTTTTTTTTTTATTATTGTGAAGCAAACAACAAATAGGACAAAATAACCGAAAAAGTCAATGTGCATGACTATTCACCCCCCTAAAGTTAATACTTTGTAGAGGCAATCACAGCTCCAAGTCGCTATGGATAAGTCTATGAGCTTGCCACATTTTACCACTGGGATTTTTGCGCTCGTGAACAGCAATCTTTAAGTCTGACCACAGATATTCTATTGGATTGAGGTCTGGGCTTTGACTAGGCCATTCCAACACATTTACATGTTTCCCCTTAAACCACTCAAGTGTTGTTTTAGCAGTGTGTTTGGGGTCATTGTCCTGCTGGAAGGTGAACCTCTGTCCTAGCCTCAAATCACGCACAGAGTGGTACAGGTTTCATTCAAGAATCCCCAGCACCATCCATCTTTCCCTCAACTCTGACCAGCTTCCCAGTCCCGGCTGCTGAAGAACATCCCCACAGCATGATGCTGCCACCACCATGTTTCACTGTGGGGATGGTGTTCTTTGGGTAATGTGATGTGTTGGGTTTGCGCCAGACATAGCATTTTCTTTGATGGCTGAAAAGTTCAATTTTAGTCTCATCAGACCAGAGCACATTCCTCCATATATTTTGGGAGTCTCCCACATGCCTTTTCGCAAACTCAAAACGTGCCATTTTGTTTTTTGCTGAAAGTAATGGCTTTCTTCTGGCCACTCTGCCATAAAGCCCAACTCTATGGAGCGTACAGTTTATTGTCGTCCTATGTACAGATACTCCAGTCTCTGCTGTGGAACTCTGCAGCTCCTCCAGGATTACCTTAGGTCTCTGTGCTGCATCTCTGATTAATGCCCTACTTGCCCGGTCCGTGAGTTTTGGTGGGTTTGCTGTTGTGCCATGTTCTTTCCATTTGGTTATGATAGATTTGATGGTGCTCCTGGGGATCAAAGATTTGGATATTTTTTTATAACTTAGTGAAAGTGTTAGGTTACTTCCGTATTCTTTTTGCGGGCTAAGCTCCTCTTTGTTGAAAATTGTGTACCAAACTCCTGGATTGTTAAACGTATTCCCTGCATTCTCCACTCCTTTGATCTCAGACTGAATTTCGTTCATCCTGCTCTCTCCAAAACTCAAGAACCGGACTGTTTGAAAGTTTATGCTCCTTCCTGACTTCAGTTACCCAGCATGTGGAAGACTACTCCCATCATACCCTAAGTATACACTTAATCATAATTCTGGGAATTGCATTATTAATTAACCTTGCCTTGCTTGCTAACTATCTCCTGCTACAACTTTGTTGCCACGGTCTCTGCTACAATTGCTATTGCTTTCATCTAATTGCTTCCAGCATCCAAGAATCCTTAAAGCTACAGTAATTGTGCTTACTTACATGACTTTTTTTCCTACCATTAGTTCCACGCTATTAAAATAAAGGAATATTCTAATCTGCAGTTTAAACATAGAATGTGACAGCAGATAAGAACCATTCGGCCCATCTAGTCTGCCCAATTTTCTAAATACTTTCATTAGTCCCTGGTCTTATCTTATAGATAGGATAGCCTTATGCCTATCCCACGCATGCTTAAACTCCTTTACTGTGTTAACCTCTACCACTTTAGATGGAAGGCTATTCCATGCATCCACTACCCTCTCAGAAAAGTAATACTTCCTGTTATTGTTTTTAAACCTTTGTCCCTCTAATTTAAGACTATGTCCTCTTGTTGTGGTAGTTTTTCTTCTTTTAAACATAGTCTCCTTCTTTACTGTGTTGATTCCCTTTATGTATTTAAATGTTTCTATCATATCCCCCCTGTCTCGTCTTTCCTCCAAGCTATACATGTTAAGATCCTTTAACCTTTCCTGGTACGTTTTATCCCGCAATCCATGAACCAGTTTAGTAGCCCTTCTCTGAACTCTCTCTAAGGTATCAATATCCTTCTGAAGATACGATCTCCAGTACTGTGTACAATACTCCAAGTGAGGTCTCACCAGTGTTCTGTACAATGGCATGAGCACTTCCCTCTTTCTACTGCTAATACCTCTCCCTATACAACCAAGCATTCTGCTAGCATTTCCTGCTTCTCTATTACATTGTCTGCCTACCTTTAAGTCATCAGAAATAATCACCCCTAAATCCCTTTCCTCAGATGTTGAGGTTAGGACTCTATCAAATATTCTGTACTCTGCCCTTGGGTTTTTACGTCCAAGATGCATTATCTTGCACTTATCCACATTAAATGTCACTTGCCACAATTCTGACCATTTTTCTAGTTTACCTAAATCATTTGCCATATCCCTCCTGGAACATCAACCCTGTTACATATCTTAGTATCATCAGCAAAAAGACATACCTTACCATCAAGACCTTCTGCAATATCACTATTAAAAATATTAAAGAGAATGGGTCCCAGTACAGATCCCTGAGGTACCCCACTGGTGACAAGTCCAAGCTTCAAATATATTCCATTGACTACAACCCTCTGTTGCCTGTCACTCAGCCACTACCTTACCCATTCAACAATATTGGAATCCAAACTTAAAGATTGCAGTTTATTGATAAAACACCTTTTCAACTTGTGACATAACAGTTTTATGCATTTTTTTTTCTCATTTCTCTTCACCAACTTGGAAGATTGTGTTCTGATCCATCACATAAAATTCAGTTTAATAAAACATTGAACTTCAGGCTGTAATGTAACAAGATAGGTAAAAAAAGGGGGTGAATACTTTTGCAAGGCACTGTATATGATACGCTGCAAAGGTCTCTATAGGATTATAATCTCAAGTAGATTTTTCACACAGAACATCTCTAATCTTATATGCCGGTCTCTGGAAGGTGTTCCATGATGCGACAGGTCCAGGAGACAGTGCAAAAAGGAAAACAAATGGGACCTCTCCAGGAGCCGCTTCGTTGTGTGATCTTTTAAGAGACAGGCTACTCGGTGTAAGCAGAACCTACTATTAGGAGACAAGGCGAACATGAAGAACAATCTTTAGGTCGTATAACATTTCAACTTAATACTGAAGCTGAGTTATTACATATAGAAAGTAGAGACTACATTAATAAGGGGGTCATGGGGTTTTACTAAATGGTATAGGAGAATTGATGGGCTTGGAATGCATGCATGATGTGTACTATCCCGACAACAGGGCACAGGCAATCTACCCATCCTTCCCTCCTCCCCCTTCCCATCCATACTTACACTCCGCCATACCTTCTGGAGTCTCCTTAATATTACAAAACTAGGGGTAGGATTGAAATTCTCAGGTGCTTGTTAAGCAGCGCACCCAAATTGATTGTGTTCTCTCTCTAAACACAGATAGAATAGGGAAAACCTTAAGATATAGTTCAATAATTAATCTTTTTTCAACCTTAAAACATTTTTGAGTTCAGGGGGCGGTAGTTGGTGGGCCATAGAGGTGGGCACCAATTACTCGCTTAAAGTACTTCAATACTAACACTGTTAAATTTGTATATAGTTTTTCCTCTTTTTGGTTCAATCATTTGTTTTACAGTTGAGGATAAACAAACTGATAATTTATCCACGGAAGTGGTTATAGAAACGTGCATATTGGTAACAAGAGAATAACAAATTAGTGGCGATCTTATCACGGACTACACAACTAACAATATGACTATTTGTATACACACACACACACACACAAAATGCTAGGTGATTGAACACCCCAGAGAAAAGATATTTAGCATTTTTAGATATTTAGTAGTTTCTTCCACTCTTTGAAACAGTACTGGTCTTCCAGTGCTCCCAATATTAAATGTATGTATATAGGGTACCACAGCCAAGATCTCATAAATAATATGACTTTATTGGTAATCCCTAATACATCTAAGTTTAAAAGGTATAATAAAAAAAAAATTGTTATAAAATAGATATAAATACCAAGTACAAATGTCCAAATAAATGTCCAAAACGCATTTCGCCCTTACATGGACTTCCTCAGTTGGTTGATTGTGTCTCTCTTCCTTCTTGTCTGTTTTAAAAAGGTTCCAAGTCCCTCATTTCCTTGTAAATTATATGACAGCTCATCCCTCAGGTAGAGACTATTCCTTTTTCTCCCCTCCCTCAGGTACTTACACTAGAATAGACATGCTGTAACTACATCACAAACATCTCCCCC